TAGACTAACAGCCTAAACCAGCACAAGATTATAGTCTGGTATAAATTATATGCTCTGGGATATAATGAAGAATGTTTGAAAAGAACAAATTGATAACCTCTGTCTGGCTGTGTGACTATATAAAATGGAAGAATCTCGAATGCCAAGTCAGGCTGTCTGTACTAGATTCTGTTTATTCTACTCAAAGAACTGTAAACTTGAAGACCATGAATCCAGAAGACAGACAGAGGTAGGCTTTGGGAAGTTCATGAACTCTGTACATATGAAAGCTTTGGGAAGGTTGCTCTTAGACCAGATTCTCAAAGAAATTCAAGACTCTCAAAAAGTTGAGTTTGGCAGTATAGTTGGATGTGCTTGGAAGCTGTCAGAAATACAGGCAGGAAGTCAAAAGACATGATGGAATTAGAAACAGATTTGAGATTCCACTGCTTCCGTGCTGCTTATGAAACATTAGTCATAAGTGAGATTGCTCAGGAAGACGTAACACAAGATGCAAGATAGAGGACAGAAAGACAAGTTTAATGCTGAAATTGCAAGCAGAGGAGACAAAGCTGGTGAAACAAAGTGTTGGTCAGATAATCAGAACAGTCAGGAAAGAAGAATGGCATATAAATCAAAGGATATGTATATAATTTGATATAGCATGTTGGCTATAATGGCAAAGTGGTTCTTAAATAAAAAAAAGATTATAGGTTTTAGAAAGTGGAATCTATAGTCTCTTATAAATATCAGAGAGGGAAAAGTTAAGGAAGCAAATTGGCTAAGTATCTTACATAACTATTGCATCTTTAACTATTTTTAGAAGTTTAAAAAATATATCAAAAGGAAAGCACCATAGAAAACCAGAATAGAAAGCATAACACATGATGTCAGAAATAAAACCAAATATAGTAGTTGTGAAATTGAAGCTGACTCTATTTCTTCACCTTGCCCTTCGGACGCCCTTGCGGTGGCGAAGCTCCCTCAGCACTGCTGGCCTGTGGGGCCCTCAGCGCCTCCTGCCCCCTTCGCCCTAACTGTACTTCCGGCACTGATTTCCTTCATATCTCCATTTAAACTAGCTGAAATTTATAGAACTGTTTTCTGTCAAGATCACTTTTAGAACTACATGGCAATCTTAATATCAAATCAGAATTTAAAGCTCAAAGGCAGTAATTCAGATTTTTAAAAAACATAACCAGGAATGTATACGAAACAATATGAGATAAAGTTATAAGAGAAAATTTACAGAAACAATGCGTTGGAAAGCTCCTAATACACCACTACAGATCTGGTAGATAAAACAGTAAACAAAGACAAAAAGAACCATACAACATAATTTATGAAGGTGAACTAAAAGTTAAACCTTGAAGTCTATATTCTATAGGAAATACATTTATTTTCCTTTTCAACAACTATTTATTCATTCATCCCTTTCATTGTCCTCATCTTGTGGAACACTGTCTTGCACACATATAATAAACACTTGCTAATTAACAAGTTAGTGTACCTTTTAAAGTTTTAATAGAATACTTGTGCTAATTGAACATTTTCTAGTTTCAAAGAAAATACAATACTACTCTGAAAGAAAAGATTGCATTTTCAAAACCACAAAGAAAAAGTATTAGAATTTAAAATGAAAGACTGTGAGCTGTGGGTCTTGATTAGGAAAAGGACCCCACTGCTCACCTTAGTCCTTTTCAAAACCTAGAGGGTTGGCCCAATATACTCAGTGTTAAAAATACTGGCTTTACATGACTGAAATGGAAAAAAATCATAAAATAACTCATCTATATATTACAAAAATGATGATGCTTATTTTTAAAATACTATTCCTAAAAATAACAGGAAGCTCAGAAGAGGTAAGAGTATGATAACAGGATAGCCTGAGGATGCGCCATACTACGACAGAAAAGTAAGGAAAGGGTGCTTCAGTTTGGAAAAGTTGTGGCTGAAAAGCACATGATACCCTCACAAATGACAGAGACGAAATGAATACAGATTTAGTCACTAGATTCTAAAATAAAGACTGAGACACGATTTGCAGCTAGAATATAGTTATTTTAGAACTAACATAAGGAAGCAGAATCAGAAAACATTAAGTGCCAGGAAGGACTTAAAGCTATTTGCTTGAATTACTTTGTGTTACAGATAAAAAATAGATTTAAACAAATGATGCTAGAAAATCTGACAGCTACATGCAAGAGAATAAAGTTGAATATTGCCTTATGTCATATACAAAAATTAACTCCAATACCAAAGATCTAAATGTAAGAACTAAAACTATAAAATTCTTGGAATAAAGTAGGGGCTTTATAACACTAAACTTGATTATACACACCAAAGCAACAAAAGAACAAAACAGATAAATTACACTATGATGAAAAACTCAAGTGCACAAAAGGATACAATCAGCACAATGAAAATGCAATCCACACAGTGGGAGAAAATATTTGCCAATCATATATTTGATAAGAGATTAATATCCAGACTATATAAAAACTCCGACAAATCAATATTAAAAAAACAAGTAAACCCACTAAAAATGGGCAAAGGATTTAAGGAGACATTTATCAAAAAAGATATATAAGTAGATAATAAGCAAATAAAAAGATTTCAACCTAACTAATCATTGGTGGCACATAAATCAAACCACAGGAGGAACCACCTCCCACCAAACACAGTAGTGTAGGCGAAGATGTGGAGAAACTGGAAGCTCTGTGCCCTGTCTGTTGGTGGGAAGGAAAAATGGCACCACTGCCACAGGAAACAAAATGGTAGCCCTTCAGAAACTTAGAATCATCACATAACCTAGCAGTCCCACTTCCAGGTACACATGTGCAGTGAATTGAAAGCTCAGACTCAAACAGATATTTTTTTCATCCATGTTCATGGTAGCATTACTCATAATATCCAAAAGGTAAAAGCAAGGCTGGGGTGATAGCTCAGTGGCATAAGCACCTGCCTGGCAAGTGCACAATATCGAGTTTGATCCCTGGTACCAAAAAAAAAAGTAACAAAAAACAATAACAAACAGAAAACAAAAGAAAAAAGCAACCCGTCAGTGTTTGAGTGAATAAACAATATAGAGGATATATATGTATATACACTCATACCTTCATAAATATATATAACAGAATATTATACAGGTTTTTTATTTGTGATACCAGGAATCAAACTCCGGACCTTCCACTTGCAGTATTATACAGCATTAAAACAAAACAAAACTCTTCTTTCCTGACTGTTCTGATTACCAGACCCACACTTTCTTTTACCAGACGTATGCTACAATATGAGTGAATGTTCAGGACACTGCTAAATACACTCAAAAAAAAGGACAAATGCTGCATGATTCCAGGTACATAAAGAGCATAGAGCAGTCCCATTCAGACATAGGAAGTAGAATGGTGGTTGCTAGGAACTTCTGGGAGGGGGAAATGGAAGTTACTGTTTAGTTAATGTCAAATTTTAGTTTTGCCACATGAAGAGTTCTGAGGACCGGTGGTAGCACAGCAATGGAAAGGTATTCAATGTATGACACTGTCTGTGCCCTTAAAATGGTTACAGTGGCCAATTTCACAGCAATAAATATTTTTATCACAATTTTTAAAAAGGAAAAGTGAAACATTTTTCTTTTGATCAAAACCTTCTCCTCCTTTTGACTTGCCCACTTCTGTGAGTTATAACATTTTTTTCCCAGCTCTCGAAGTCAGACACCGAACCTCATTCTTGGTGTTTCCTTCTCTCTTCCTCAACCTGCTACCCTCACTATGAATTTTTCATAATGTGCCAGGAGCTGTGCTGGCGCTTCTCCTTGCAGAAGGCCTGGAGAGGGCCGGCAAGATAGTCAGTGGACTAAGCGCCTGCTTAGGCAAACACAGGGGCTGGGGTTTGATCCCTGGTACCACATGCTGTGCAGGCCCTGTCCCCAGGAACATTGAGCTGCCCACCGAGTCCAGATGTGGTGGTACACACCTGAAATCCCAGCACTGGGGAGGCTGAAAACAGAGGATCACTATGAGTCCAAGCTGCACAGGGAGACCCTGTGCCAAATACATATATTAAAACAGCAACAACAAAATGCCCTGTCTCTCTGTGTGTGTATCTGTCTATTTTACAAGTTCAATTTATATATATATAATTTTTCTAAGATTAGATATATATTTTGGCTTTTTTGCTATGCATAAATATTTGTCAACATAGGAAGATGGGATATATTTTTGAAAATAATTTCTACTTGACACACACTAATGCACATATTTATGGATTCCATGTGATGCTTCAATACGTGTGTATAATGTGGTTATATCAGGGTAATTAGCACATCTGCTAACTACCCCAGACATCGTGTTGAGAACATTCAGAGCCCTCCATATAAGCTATTTTGAAATTTTCAATGATTGTTAACAATAGTTACCCGGCTTGCTATACAGAACTGCAGAAGTTATTTCTCCTTTCTGACGTATTCCTGTACCCCTAACTGTCCTCCCTCCACCGGCCCCACCTCCATTCCCTTCTCGGGCTCTGGCAACCACTGTCCTACTCTCTACTCCATGAGATCAACTTTTTTGCTTTTGTATGTAAGTGAGAACATGTGGTTTTGGCTTTCTGTCAGAATAGCTTCATTTCTCACTGAGCTCACCACAATTACACCTTTCTCGGGCTTTTCCAGTCTCTTCTCAACTTTGCAGCAAAATTTTTCTCTCTTTAAAAGTGAGAAGCTCTAATACTCTCTCCCCTAAGTCTCTTCAATGGCTCCTCCTTGCCATTCATTCATTTGGCTTATGATGCTCATTTTCATTGGACTCTTCCCTGTTTATAAGGCCCCTCTATGTTGACCGTGAAGCAGACAGCAAAATCCTGCTTGCTACACTAAAGCCTTGACAAAATCTAGTATGGGATGAAAAAAATGTTTTGCACAATATACACATAGACATATATACAGATGTGACTATATACATTTAGAATATAAGTCACTTAAAATAGCCAAAGCTGTCATCATTTATAAGAGTAGTGATACAGAAGGGGAAAAATAAAATCACATCTTTTATTAAACAAAATACTCCACATATACATAAATTAAAATTGTAATTTCACCTGCAGTGCATGAGATGTACTTAATCTCTCCTATCTTACAGATTTATGTCAACATAGCTTGTCACTGAAATGAAAATCATATTATGTATATCATCTGAGCATATTATTTTTCATGGCTGTATAACATGGTACTGCCATAATCTTGCTGAAACTAGATATTACTTTGTTGACCTCATTCTGAATGCGGGTTTCTTGAAACAACACAATGTCTATTTTCTGTATGGTTCCAAACAAAAGCTTAAACCTTCATTTAAATATAGGATTGTAATTAAATCATATTGAGTTTATTTCTGTCCCAAGAAATCTTTATAACTCTTTGGCACTGGGATGAGCTTTGGCCTTAAGTAGTAAATAGACTGTAGTTCTCCAACAGAAAATAGCAGACTATTATTCTAGTGTTTTCTCATAGCAGTCACAGGACTATCAGAGGAAAATGTATGATTAATTTATATAAAATGAGACATACAGTAATAAGCTGCTTTGGCAATTGCTTTTGCTGCATTCTTCTGGATGTCAGGTACTGTAGAGCTCTCTGCAAATGCAAGGAGCTTTTGCAGCGCCCCTGTCCGCTGAATCAGCACCATACTATCCATATCTTCAAGGCAATTAGCCACCACTGAAAGTGCTTCTATGTGAAGGTCATTCAAATCCTAGTAACAAAAACAGGCACAACTTTAGAAAGGTGGAGTGAAAAAAGAATTGGCATTTTGCAAATTTTAGTATGATAGGAACTAAGAGCAGTAAAAATATGATGTGACTATTGTGAGTGGGGTTCTAGGAAGCAGAGTTCTTTTTGTCAATGCAGCCTCAGTCTACCTAGCCATTTGCCCCATTTTTGCTCATCTATCTTACTCTGAAATGTTTTGTGGATAAAAACTATGCCACCAAGGAAATTTCCATTAATAATAGCCATGGAACACTGGTCATAAAACCTTCAATGAAAAACAATTCTAATATCTGGTGAAAAATGTTTTTTAAAATAGCAAAAAAAAACCTGAAGGAAAACGTGCTCCTTAAAATCTGCAGCTGGTAGAAGAAAGCTGGTAGCAGCAGAAAACTGCAGCTTTGCCTACACAGGTGGAGATTTCAGAGAGAAATCCTGAAAGTGAGAGAAGCACAGAAAGGATGACCGACTGCCATGACATTCGGCTCCACACTGCTCCCGCCCAAGGGACTGACTTCACCACAGAAGTGTGACAAAGGGCCCATACCCACAGAATTTGTGGGACCTCCCCGTTCCTCATCGTCCCAAAGCAGGTGACTTGGTAGAGTGGAGGAATGATCTTTTGAAGACTCAGTTGCAGCACCAGCCTGGTGGCAATACCTTTCAGGGCTGAGCCAAGGTCTTGCCCAAGGCTGTAAATGCATCAAAGCAGTGTATGGCATAGGGTGCTATTTCTCCCCAAGATAGAGTTCAGAAGTCCAAGAAACAAGGCGTGGAAATGGGCTTGGCATCACTCATCTTACCCCTAATGGCTCACTAGCAACGCCTCGGCTTCCTGCTCTTTCCATCTTATGATCTGCTATCTAGAGCTCCTAATTCTCAAAGGAAGAATACATCCATGAAGAAACACACTGAAGCCTTCTCAGGAATCAAGGTTTGGGCCATCCCATGACTGAAGACCTATGGCCCCTGGACATACATGCTGAGAACAAAAGGAATATGGTCTAGGTAGTGAAAGAAGGTTGCTGTGACTATTAATGATAATCATGTGATTAGGGAAATTAGGACTGTAATTATCATAAATATTTCTCTTCCTTATTTTGTTATAAATACCTTTGTGTGTATTTATACACATTATATATATATATATATATATATATATATATATATATATATATAACACGCAACCACTTATCATGACATATGAGCTGTACTAACTTTATACTATAATAATTAATTTTGTTGAACTTTATTTCACAATATTTAAGTTCCTAAAGGTCAGTGTGAAGAGTAAACATCATCAGAGGACTTTGCATCCTCTTCTAGGGGAAGAGTTAATATATTCTTGGTTGGATATAGGATAGTTGTATCATGTTAGGCATATGTATTATTATGTCCTTGCCTTTCGTTAGAGAATATGATTTTAAAAGATAATATGTGTACTAAATTGATAAGAAGTAAACTTAGAATGATTGATTTTTATGTATGAACTTGGCTAGGCCAGAGAACCCATATATTTGCACTATTTAAATATTTCTATAAAGATTTTTTTTTTTCAGAACCAGGAATTGAACTCAGACCCTTGCGCTTGCCAGGGAAGCACTTATTCTACTGAGCCATCTCCCCGGACCCCTATAAAGATAATTTTTAGATTGGGTGAATATTTAAGTTAATAGACTTTGGATAAAACAGATTAGTCTTATAATGTAAGTTGGTCTTATTCAATCAGTTGAAGGCCATAATAGAAAAGCATTGACTTCCTGGACATAGGGGAAACGCTGCCAGTAAATTGTCTTTGCACTTGCTAACTTTTCAAAACTGATTGAGCCAATTCTCTAATTATCCATTCTGTTTCTCTGAAGAACCCTCACTAATACAGAGTATGACCAAAAATCTAGGTATAAATTATACCCAGCCGTCTGGCTGACCACTGACCTAGGCATGCATGGAGGACACACCAGAGTCTTTCCAGGGTCCTTAAAGGGGAAGGGCCCTGCATGATGTCTCTTACTTAGCTGCTTTTCCAATGGAGTGTCTTCCTCAAACCTGTGAAATTCAGCTGGCAGGGAGTGGAATGAAGCTTTTCTGGCTTAAACTACTAGAGGTGAGAGTCTAAAGCCAGAGATGTTCCATAAATTTAAGCCCAGAAACAAGCTGACCAAGAATGTGAGTACCCAAATCTAAGTTACACGTCTTCTCTTATCTATGGCTGACCTCAGAAACATTGAGGTGGTGCCTGGAGTCAGGCTAAATAAAAGCAACAGTAAAAAGAAACCTCCAGAACAGAGTCATGATACCAGATGTTGCACCTCAAAAGAGAGATAGATAGTTTGTAGCTAATGGCCTATTTAAACAAAATATTAGTAGTCCTCAGGAGAACACAAAAGAATCTAGAATCACTAAAATGTAGTAGCTACAATGTTCATTTTGAACCAAAATGTACTAGATGTGCAAAGATACAGAACAGTATAAATGAGATTATGGGGTGAAAAGACAGTCACTAGAAACCTACAGCAGATAGGATAAATTATTGGAATAAACAGTTAAAGACTTAAAGTGGTTATTACAAGCATGTTCAAAGAAAAAAGCTTAATAGATATGAACAAGCATGTTTAAAGAAAAAAGGTTAATAGATATGAAACTTAAAAATGAAAATTTAAGACATGAAAAGCACAAAACTAAAATCAAAAATTCACCAGGTATACTTAACATCAGATTATAGATGGCAAAAGAAGGAAACTAGATATAAAAAATTAATCCAAAAAAGAAAAATGAATAGACCTTTAGAGTCTTACAAAATCATATCAATTAGAACAACATAAGTATAACTGAGTCTTTCAAGGGACAGGAGAAGAAAAGATTATATAACAAAGGAAATTCCAATATTTAACAGAAAACATTCTGTACAGACCTAAGGACTTATGGGCTCCGATCAAAGCATAAAAATTATATGACTGATATGCAGAGCAAAAGTGCAGAAAGCCAAAGATAAAGACAGAAATCTCAAAAACAGAAGAAATAAAAGGACACCTTACATTTGTGAAGTCTTCCTTCCTTCCTTCCTTCCTTTCTTTCCTTCTGGCTTCCTAGTGTGGTACCCGGATGGAAACCAGGCCTTCACACATGCTAGGCAGGCACTTGGCCATTGCATGACTTCCCCAACCCTTTAATGGCTGAATAATGATGTTCAGAAGAAATAGAAAAGTTCTAAGTAGAAAATAAATGCCAAACAGGAATTTTACAATAAAGAAAAATGTATTCATAACTGTGAGGGTAAAGGGAAAACATTTTTAAATAAAGTTAAAAACTGAGATTATTTATGTTAGCATATCTGCACTATGAGAATTGCTAAATGGAGTTCTTTAGATTGAAGGAAAATGGCCTTGATGACAGCCTGTATACACAAGAAACAATAAACACCACCAGGAATACTAAATATATTTCTTCAACTGTCAATAAGTTGATGGGCACTACACACACATAGAAATGTAATTTTCCTTTCTTCATTCCCTTAACAATACATACAATATAAAACTGTTCAAGACAAAAACTATGTTGCATTGTTGAGTTTGTAATGTCTATATATATAAAATATATAACAAAAGTAGTATTCAGAATAGGAAAGGTAAATAGAAGTATAATGCTACAAAGTTTCATTTTTTTACTTGGATTGGTTAATATGGTTAACCAATATTGTTAATTGGTTAATATTGGTTAATATATATGTAGACTAAGATAAGTTTAAATATTTTATTATAATTATCAGACCAACTGTTACATATTTTATTTTTTTTAATGTAATTGGTTGTTACAGGGTCTCACTACACAGCTCAGACTCATGGTGATCCTCCTGTTTTATTTTTCAGTTTGTATCTTATTTATTTATTTAGTGGTACTGGGGATCAAACTCAGGACCTTATGCTTGCCAGGCAGGCACTTTTGCTGCTGAGTTATCTCCCCAGCCCCTCAATTCGTCTTTTAAAAACATGATAAAATATGACTACCTATTACTACCTATTAACACAAAGGCTGGCATCCATATTGATCAACGAATCAAAGGCAGCTAGATTTACATGGCCAAGAAATACAACTGTGTCTATATTGCTCCTTTCTATTTTACTTTATTTTTTCATTCCTGTAAAATTAGAAAGTTCTGATACTTAATTTTTTAGGAAGTAAAAAATATAGTGATTGGGTAGTACATAGTTGTTACTTAGGGACCCTTTAATCTCGTTTAATTTACGCCTGCCTCCTGAGTTTCTAAGAGGCATAAAGAAAAGACTTTTGTCGTTAGAGTTAATTTAATTTACTAAACTTTTAAAGTGGCACAACGGATGGTTTCATGCTGGAGTTAAAGCAGTGGACACTTTCAGAAATCATCTGAATCACTCCAAGACAGTTAAATGATATTTAATAAACTGCTAGACTGTTTTTTTAAAACCGGGAAAAAACAAAAAAAGGTATGCAGATCCTTAACATGTGAAATTTATTCCTAAGGAACTTAGTAGAAACTATGGAAATTCCACTCCAATGTTCCTCAAAATGTGCTTAGAAAGTAAATTACATTTCTTCCCCTATCCCAGAGAAAATCATTGTTAATAAATGTCAGGAGACTAGTTCTATATTTTTTATATTAAAGGAGACTAATTCTAAATGTTTCAGAAAACCAGGGAAATAATAGACAAAAATGTTTGAACATTTTCAATATCGTAAGGCAGAAGACTTTTAAAAAATTCATTTCAAATGCCTATACAATTATTCTGATTTAATCAGTCTGATTGACTTTCTGTAGAAATTAACCAATTATTCCATTATATTTTGCATCATGCTTAAATATAAAATTTCACTTGAAAATATTCTATAGTTCCTTTTATATGATGTTTAGGGGACCACTGAGAGAACTGAATGATCATTACCTTGGTTTCTAGGATCTTAATAAGCTGGTCCAGTCCTTGATTGTCTCTCAGCATTGCCTGGGACTTCTTACTATTTGTCATAGCACCCAACGTTTTGAGAGCCAACAGCTGAATAATTGGATATTCTGATTTCAAGAGATCTAATACAGGAGGAATTGCATTTAGTTCTTGAAGTGCAGCTCGACACTCAAAATCCTGCCATGAAATACAAATGATCATATCAGTAATTTCTAAAGCAAAATAGAGTCTCAAGAACAGAGAAATTCTATTTTCTAGCAAAGAACATTATAAATTCAATGTTTTCATCTTTTATTCCAGACTCCCTTCTAAAATAACTCACAAAGATAAGAAAACTTTCAGCTGACAAGATCAAAATATTCATGTTTAACTATGCCGACATTGTCAACAACAGGAAATAAACAAGATCTGTGGCTTTTCAGTATCTTATTTTTTATGCAGCAAATTCCCATTACTACAAATATCATTGCAATAAAAATCTATGCATAATACAATTCTTTTCACACTCTGATATACTGCTTCAAATACTGTTTTATTTGATAAAATGAAATAATAATATCAATCCTCATCTTCAAATGGATTGTTTATGAAATACCTATCTGCAGACAGTGCTATTGTAAGGTTCTATGCATGTAAATTTATAGCAGGCATAGTCCAGATGTATGACCTTTCCTTAAGATATTAAGGGGTCATTATAGTCTAGACAAATTGTTCTGCATGAGTCAATAATTTTGTGGGGGTGCATGTGTATGTGTGGAGGGGTTATTGATTGAGATGAATAGTACAGAAAACAGGATGAAATCATAAAAACATCCCAAACTAGGATCACTCAATCATGACTTTTTTTTTTGGTCCCAGAATATGACAAATATAAAATAGCACTAAAGTTAGAAACAGCCTCACTTAAGGTTACCTTGCCCCTATCTATTCTTTAACTGACCTCTCCCACTCAGCTTCCTTCAGATATAAAAGCTATAGGTTGCTCTTAGTCATGGAATGAATTGAGTCTCCAGTCCCTTAGAATGTGACCTTATTTGGAAACACAGTCCTTGAAGTTGTAACTATGCGAGATGTGGTCATCCTGGAGTGGGGAAGGCCCCTCGTGGTGTCCTGATAGGACTGGGTTCCTTCGAGGGGCAGTGGTCAGGGGAAAGACAGAGTGCTACCATGGTGAGGCCAGCAGCGTCCACCTTGACAGCAGCTGGGAAGAGGTGAGGAAGGATTCCACCCAGTCTCAGAGTATGACCATACTGACACCTTCATTTTGAACTTCTCTCCTCATTACTGTGACTTTCTGTCATTTTAAGCCATTAAGTTTGTGGTACATATACAATGTAGTGCTACTAGCTAGTACTTTGTTAGTAGGAACTGTGGAGATAATATTTTTCATTTCTGCTACATTAAAACACACATAAGACTCTTAACATTAAAACCCAAGCACTTATAGGAACTTCAAAGCCTGCTTGGCCAGATCCAGCCCAAGTGACCAGAGAAGCCTGGGAGGAGCTGATCTGCCTCCTTCCTTTTAGGAGCAAGGCCCCTAAAGTCAGGTTGCTGGAGTGCTAAGGCTCGGATTCTGTTAGGCCCAGGCAGGGTACTTTGCTTGTCAACCTTGCCTCTCCCTCCCTCTTGACTCCATCTTTCTCCTTCTGTCTCACTCTATTGATAGCTATTTAGAATGCTGTTTTTGTGTGTTCATCTGATCTGAAGTTTTTCAAACATATGTGGTGATTGCTAAGAAACCTAACAGGAAAAGAAGCAAAGAAGGCTGTTAAAAGACTCAGGAAACTGGTCTGCTGTGGGTATGTGGGTGTGGGTGTGGGTGCAGAGAGGGGCTGAAGAGCAGGGTTCAAAGGACAAAGCATGGGGGAGTGGAAGGTGGCAGTTTCTTTCCACTCCAAAGAACAGTCCCCATGTGGTAGCATCTTGCTATTGTGAGCAGTGTAAATACTGTTCAGTATACTTAGCTCACTGGATTCTCACCCTAAATGAGTCTAGGTAATACCCTTTGGTTATGGTACAATGGATTAGGGTATAATAGATTACACCTATTAAAACTACCTGGGTCAAATCAAACAGCTTCTTCCCAGGTTCAACATGAATCTTAGATCTCCTATTTAAGAAGAAGCACATTTTATCTAGACCAATCCCACCTAAACCTGTATGCCATTCTATTATTATTATTATTGCTATTATTATTTAGAAACACATTTCTAACAGACTCTTCTGCAGATGACAACTCTCTGAAAACTGAAGTGATATTAGACTTTCACCATTTTTTTCTGAGTGATAAATACTAAATGCACTAAGAATTGATGATACAAAACTGGGTGAGCTTTCCAGTATCATCCTTTCCTTAATAGGAAAATAACTTTATAATCAGGATCAAATCTAGGGTCTTATGCATGCCAGGCAAGTGTTGTGCCACCGAGCTATAACCCTAGCCATCAAAGGAGCTTTTAGAAGTTAATTTTACCTGGGCCAAGTTGTAAATGCTTTCAATAGAATTCTTCTTCACATCAGGATCGGGACTCCTCAGCAGTCTGATGAGTGGCTCCAATCCACCATGTTCAAGTATTTGCACTTTACCGGTATACTCTACGGACATGTTTGCTAGGCAAAGACTAGCAAACTCATGGATAACTACTTCTTCTGTGATCAAAAAATAAATAAGACAAGTCTGTTAAATGTTTGTTCAATCTCTACTTCAAAATATGCTTTAAAAAGCCTTAGCTCTGCAAATCTTGCTTACTGTTCACCTTTTTAAAACATCAAAATTGAGCCAAGGTTTGTGAAATTTTAATGACAACTCACAGTTGATAGCTCTGAGCTATTTTCAATATGTAATTTAATAAAATGTTAAAAAGAAACCAGTTCTTTCTTTTGCAGTACATATAGGATGCAAAGTTACCTTCCGGGGTGAGCTGGGCAATCACAGAATTCATGACATCTAACTTCCTTAGCAATTTTTTAACATCATCTACAAAAAGAAGAGAACATTGTTAGTTATTAACAATAATGATGACAGTGTCTGTTGAACAGTTATCCCTTAAGAGATGGGTACTATCATTATCCAATTTCATGGTTACAGAAATTGAATTACCAAATCACACAACAAATAAGTAATGGGGCCAGGTTTCCTGCTGAGGTCTGTGTGACCCTGCACACACTCTACACCACGCCCCTCAAGCCCTGCGAGGCTGGCTTCTAGACACTAAAGAGAACAAAATGTGACTAGAACACCCTTCAGTAAAAGTAAGTTGTTGCAGCCTAGCCCTGTTTATTTCAAAATAATCATTCTTTTTGTTTTATTGCAAAGGTATTTGTAAATTTTGATGTTAACAAAACTTGTACAGAAAGCAAATTAAGAATTATTGTAGCCTATTTCAATGAATATATCTTGACTGCTTCCATTCCATTTAATTATTACAAATGCCAAGAATGCTAATGATAAATGTATTAGTTGTTCTGAAGTTTACTTTCACATAATTTATATTAGCCTAATTAAGGGTGGACTGGTATCTCTCCACTTCTTTCTTGCTATCCTTTATCTCACTTCTAAGAAAAAAAAGCATTAGTTCTTTTAGTTTTGCAAATTCTCCTCTCGATTAGTTACTTCAAAAAGCCAAAATTAGCTCTGCCAGAATTTTGGAAAAGTTCAGTTTGTAGCAGCTGAAATACATGGACTCTGGATGAGTTCTTCCTCTTTAATTGCTGGTAAGACATGGCTTTAAGTGGATCCCATTTCCAAGGGAATCTAGGGCTATGACTTTTCATTAATCTGTCAAAACTTCTTCCTTTTTTGTTCAAAGTGATTAGCAGGTCCAGCAAAATCACAGTTGAATACAAATAAACTTGAAATGCAAAATAATAACTGACCTCTAGGAAGCACAATGTTCAGAGGTAAAGGATGTCATTTTAAGGTCAACATTCATTTTGGAAAAATGCATTACCTCCATGAATTGAGAAACAGTACTTAGAATAGTACTCAGAACTTCTCAAGGGTTTAGTGAACTGAGTAGAGTACACTCTCTAAAAGCAAACATTGTTATTCTCTCCTGAGTTTGGTTTGTATTACTATAAAAATTTTTGTGGAAGCTATATCAAAGTCTTCTATTATTACATGCTTGAAAAAATATTTCCAGGCTATTAGGTTTCCAAGCATAGTCCCCACATGGTGTATAAAATACTTCCATATACTGCAGAATCTGCTGCTCCAACACTGAAGAGAGGGTGGAAAGATCCCTGCTCTGTGCATTCTTCTCTTTGTCATGGTGACAGACTCCCACTGGGAGGGGCTACAGTGTTGAATGAATCTTCTACCCTCAGGTGACACCACACTTTGGTCTGGCCAAGCAAGCTAAAATTTTTATGCCATAAAATTCTCTTTTAGATCTGAATGTAGCCCAAATGACAAGCAACATTCACCAACAGTTCTAGTAGGTCTATCCTTGAAACCATTTCCTCATGGCTCAATGGATGATTCTAGCTCACCAGCAGCTCTTGTAATCCAGCGACAGTTAATCACTTTGTTATTCTTTTTGACACTAGATTTTTAAAGAGTCTTTCTCATCTTGAGGCTAAATCAGCAACAATAATGGGTGTGTGTCTATTTCCATCACTCTGAACACAATCTCTGTCCCTTTCTTTTTCAACAGAAAACACTCTCAGATATGGCAACTGAATGGAAACTCTGACTTGTGGTTGGGCCACCTGAGCACGCTCTGGCTAAATGGGGTGCCACCTACGATTCTGGGTTGTTTCGGAACTGCCAGCAACTTTGCTTCCTGGGCCACCTGCTTGTCATCTCTTTTAGTTGCATTCTTATATAGTTGTTCCATTTACACAATACTAGCCATTTACTCTTGAATTTGTTCACTCTTCTACCAACAGCTTTCTAAGATGGCAGGCTCTTCTACCTGACTTGAGTGAGGAAACCCTCTGGTTTTCCAAGGCCATTTCTCCATGGATTCTGGTGAGTTCTCTCTTAGTGAGCTTCATTCAGCAAGTCTCTGTTATGTGGCCTTGTTGGATTAACTACAAATTGGAAGGTGAAAAAAGACAGTATCTCCATTTTGGTAAAGAACAAGAGTTCAACAAAGTTAAATTCCTATTTTGACCACAGCTTGACATAGAGACATAGTTCAACCACAAGAAAGAAAAGAAAGAGTGTTTTCATTTGCAAAAGCGAAAAATGACTTTCACTGGAATATTTTTAGCACTTGGCATTCCCTAGGATCATTAGAGTGATCCCCTGTGAACACAGTGGTTACTGTGACAGCATGGAAAGCATATGAAGAGCAGATTTCGAAGGAGCTAGGCTATGCTTAGACCGCCCAGTGATGAGGGCATCGGCTGCAGGGGTACATTTGTTCTCATATTGGTCTGGAAACAAGACTTTTCATTTGGACCAAGTGACTAAATATACAGTTTTTATTCCAGGTTTTCTTGGACACGTATGAAAAGTGAAGCATAGCTGTTAATGTGTTGGCTCTGTTAAGAAAAAAAAGAGCTTTACAAGCACTTAGGGATGCCATGTGTTCTAACCACATCATCAGACACTTAAAATTGAAAGCAGTCAAGTTAATTCAAACAATGGTTTAATATTTTCATCTAATTCATAGAATGGAAAGAAAGCTTTCAGAGGTTGATTAATCATCCTGAGATCCAAATAGTCACTGGAGAAAAAAAGGGTGGCAGAAAGGGTGTCCTTATCCCCCCATCCACCAAAATCCATGCTACAGAGGTGGGACTTCCTGACACTGGTCAGGGCCAGTGGACAGTCAGCTTAGAGCAGGCCCCAGAGTTCTGTGAGCCACTTCCTTCAGCAGCCAAATGCAATAGTGACTCTTACTAATTTTGGGTCACAGACCTCTTTAGAAACTCATGAAATTCAATGTATATACTCTGCTCAGAAAAAAATTTTATAAAGAATTTTTTAATGCATTTGGTTGTTATAGGGTCTTACTATGCAGCTCAGACTCATGGTGATCCTCCCGTTTTCAGCCTTAACAGCGCTGGGATTACAGGTATGTGCCACTATGCCCGGACTCTGTGGCTGGTTCAGCCTGCCCTGGAGGCGGAGCTGGCATGGCATGTGGTGCTGGGGATTGAACCACAGTCCCTGCATTTGCGTAAGCTTGCCTAAGGAGGCTCTTCAGTCCATGGAGCTATCTTGCCAACCCTCTTTATAAATGATTTATTAGAGAGCTCCTCAGCTTACAAATGCCTTATATCTTGGAAGATGATACATAAACAAGATTAAACTAAGAACAAAAGTAGGATAGTGTGGAAAACTAAAGTTTAACTTAGAAAATATAAGTTCAAATAGAGAATTAGAACTCTGCTTTTCAGATAAGATGTATTCTACAACAAAATCATTTAGTAGAACCTGACTTAGAATCATACAAGACTTGATGATGAGAAAATTGCTTAAACTATGAACCAGAAAATAAAGCTTTACTTTTAGCTTTAACTTCTGATCTACCATTATGCATCTACATGACTGTAGGCAAGTAACTTAACCCTTGGAGGGCTCGCTTTTACATTTAAAACAAGGTGTTATAGGATAGGCATTATGTATATCTTTGTTTCTCAGATTCTGTGGTGTGTAAACTCTCCTTTTGGTTTTTAGTTATATAATTGATATGGTACTAACACAGAACTATTACACAGCAAACTTTGAGATTAAATTTACTTCACAATATAACTGATGACTTCCTTCCCTCTGCACCTGAGTTTCTTCTTTTAACAGGAATAATTATTGCACCTACCTCTCACAGCTGTTTGTTAAGATTAAATGAATATCCAAAAAGCACTTACAACAGTGCCTGGCACAATATGAGGGCTATAGAAGTGCTAATTCATATTATTATCATAATCTAGGTTGGTGAGACAGCCACACCCCTGTGAATGTCCTTATCCCAGAGTGCCCACCTCCCAGCACAGCTACCATTAGGCTTCTGACCCTGTTGCCTGCCACTCGGTACCCCAACCCCACAGGAAGTCTCCACAGCTGAGCATGCAAAGTGCCACACGAAACACCTCTTCCCCTCCTCCATTCATCACTGTCTCTAACAACACTAATGCCACAGTCCCTGCTGGCCACCATGGAATCCGAAGACCCATGGTCTTCGCACAGCATCCAGACAAAATGGGAGGGAGGCGAAACAGGAAGTAAGGGGAAAAATCTGTGCTTGTTTTTGCTGAGACTACAGTACACCAGCAGGAAAGCATGGCTTTAGCCACAGATCCTGCCAGGGACATGCAGTTATTACTAACAGCCTATTTCATGGTGCAGTTCTGTTTCCATTAAGTATATCATTTAAACTTTTTATAAGTTACATGACTTTTATTAACTGACTTAAAACACCTCTTATAACACAGGGAAATGATTTATACGTGGAAAACACATCCTATTCATAAAAGTAATGCCTCCTTTTATTTGAATGGTCTTAGCCAAGCTGATAGTCTAAAGACATAACCGCATATTTTAGCTAATATTATACAACCTTAAAAAATATATTTATGAAAATATTCTAAGCAAGTAATAGATCTGATTTAAGAATAAATATATACATCTAAATTTATTTTTGTAAAGTCTGCAGTTTCAGAAATACCAATTTACCAAAGCTTTACTCTGGGCTTCATTTGTAGTGAAATATATCTAAAGTACAACTTACACATATGTAGCAGGCAAATTGTATTATACTATCAAGAAAAATACTTTAAGAGATAATGATTGTTCTTCTGAGTTTTAAAACTGGAACATACTAACTTACCAACATTGTGAGGAGTTTTTGTGCATACATATCTGTACATACTTTTATACTTGAAATATTCCAGGTACATTCTTGTATTCTGAGCCTGAGGCAGAAGTTCCTATGTTCTGGCTCAACCTTGGAAACTTGGCAAATTAGTAAGTCCCTGATGCAAAATTAAGAAGTTTAAGAGGGGGGTATGGAGACAACCCAGTGTGATAGGATGGGGCTCAGCTCTTGGGGCCATTAAAAAAATCCCGTAAAATGTAACATCGTGCATTTGCTGCATTGTATGATTTAAATTTTAGTTTGTTAACATTAAAGTCAGTTTTATTTTGTTTATTTATTTTTAAAGTCAGTTTTAATAAAATTGAAATAAGTACCTTACAGTGGAAGGAAAAGATCATGTATTTACTTTTAAAAGTTGATACTTACTGTTAGAAGTTAGGATTCCAAATATCATGGTGGCATTTCTTCTTACAGTTTTGTCTTCATGAGTGAGCAGTTTGGTTAAGGGTTCCACAGCTCCAAGTTCAAGAAGTGTTGCTTTATTTTCTTCACCTGACATCACAGATAAGATAAAATCATATGGATATAATCAATCTCATACATGCTCTTTCTTGTGTCATTTAAAATTATTATTTGCCATCTGTTTTTCCCATTCCTCTCTGCTTCCACTCCTATTTCTCTGTCTTAGTAACTTTGTCCTCTCTGGGACAGAATACCTATTGTCCCTAACTTAAAGATGTCTATTTTGGCTGACAATTACAATCCCTGGTTTGCCAGGTTCAGTGTAGAAACAGCATGGAAGAAGGGCCTAGGGGTGGGAGGAGTTGGCCATGTGATACACCCAGGAAACAGAGAGAGAAGGGGGGAGGTGAGGAAGAAGACACAGCCTTCCCAGTCACTTCCCAGTGATTGCCCTCTTCTGATGACACCTACCTCCTAACAACACATTCAGCTATGGATTCATTAGTGGATTGATCCACTGAAGAATATAGTACCTGCATGATCCAATCACCTTCCAAAAGCCCCATCTCTGAACACATAGGCCTTCTGGGAACATTTATGGCTTCCAGTATTCTCAAGTCTTCCTTTGCTGGTGTCTTGAAACCTTTCCCAACTCTCCCATGAATCTTTTCCAAAGGCTTCTAAATCTCATACCAGGGTATATTCACAGCAATCACTACTAACCTGGTACCAAAATCTGTCTTAGCAACTTTCTCCTCCTTGAGACACACTTACTGTCACCTACAACTTCAAGGAGAAGAAGCTTATTTTGCTCACAATTACAGTATTGGGACTGTAGTTTTGTGCCACCATGTCTAGCAACCTTGCTACCAATTTTTGATTTTGTTTTGTAGACCCAACAGAATATTCTTTATGCGACAGTCAAGTTTACACGTCAACTTGACTGGGCTAAGGGATGTTTAGATACTTGGTAAAGTACTATTTATAAGTATTTCTGAGAAGGTGATTCTAGAAAAGACTGGCATTTGAATCAACAGATTGTGCGCCATTGAAAGTAGGCACTATCTAAATCTCTTAGGGTCAAACAGAAGGGTGGAAGAAGGGAAAATTGTCTCTTTTTTCAACCTTCAACATCCATCTGCTTTTGTCCTTGGAGATCAGAGCTCTTTGTTCTTGGGTCTTTGGATTCTCGGCCCCTATACAAACAGCCCTGCTTATCAAGGCTTGAACTCCAAGAACAAAATCTACCACTGGCTTTCCTGGTTCCCCAGCTTGCAGGTGGCAGATCGTGGACTACTTGTCCTGTGTGATCACACAAACCAATTCCCATGACAAACCTCCTCTTGCACTTATCTACATATGTCCTATTCAAGAGAAGAGATTTCTATTAAAGAGGAAAGAGAAAAGATCTCGATTCAAGAGAAAAATCTATAGGGAACCTTAACGAATTAAAGATTATGGCATCTTCTATAAATCAAATAAAGACGATTCTACTTTCTAAATCTGAATGCCTTCCATTTCTTTTTCTGATTTGATCGCAATGGCTCCCATTCATTGATGAACAGAAGTAGGAAGAGCGCATATCTTTCTCCGGGCATTGACTTTAAGAAGAATGCATTCATCATTAGTTATGCCGGGCATATATTTTCCATGGGGCTGTTTTGCCATAATTAGTACTGTAGGTGTGTGAGTAGTAAATTATTTTAGCATTTATAAATCTGAAAAAAGATATCTTGCCATATAATTCCAGGATGAAAGTTTTCGATTTTCTTTCAATACTTTGAAGCTGCTGCTCCCCTGACTTCTTGCTTGCACTGCTTTGGATGTCAGTGCCTCCTTCTTCACCACTTGCTACTTGTTACCTGCTGTTATCCTTGTCTTCATTCCTGTGAACGTGCAAGCTTCCCTGTTCCCATTTGCTACTTTTAAGATTCCCTTTATCCTGGTGTTAAGCAATTGGATTGGTTTGGCTTTCTTCATATTTTTTGTGATTGGGTTTTAACACGCTTCTTGAATATGCGGACCTAAAATTTTCATTAAATCTGAAAACTTTGGTTACTGTTTCTTCTTTAATTTTTGATTCTTTAATTTTACAGAAAAAAGGTAAAACAAGCTTTAACAATAAAATAGCAGAATAACAATAGTTAATACATTGCATATTGTTATCTCTTAAGTAGTTACTCAGAGTACAAGATTCCAGCATAAAAATCTCTCCAATTAATATTAACATAAATCTTCCTTTTCAATAAACTAAGAGACACTAATAGTATTACTAACTTGTACTTTTTCCCTTTTCTCTATTTCTTTCCCCCTTCCCTCATCCTAGTTCCTTTTTTCCTCATGAACAATTTCTTCCAGGGCCGGAGAGATAGCTCAGTAGAATAAACACTTGCCTGGCAAGTGCAAGGTCCTGAGTTCAATCCC